ATACCCCAGCAGTGTGAGTCAAGCAGCGGAAGGGTTATTGTGCAACGTCGAAGAGTGTTATCATAGGGCGAATCGGTAGCTGTCGCTTCACAACCGCATTTGGTCGATAGAAAGAACCAGAGATGCATCTTCAAGGTTTTTGCTGATGCAGGATGTCTTCAGCAGCAAATTTTCGTCGTTAAAATGAAATACGATATGAGCAAGTTGATGTTCTTCTGGCTCGAATTAGCTGACCCAGAAATAGCTTGGAAGATGAATCTGAGGGAAACTTAATTGCTACCTTTATATATAGCTAGCTAATATTGCAAGAGGCGGTTCTTACTTTTACGACTCATATATGGCGCAATTTTGTGCTGTGATGACTAGTGTACTGTGCGGATCTGACAATTGGAAGTTTAGGGTCTCCACCAGCATTCTAAATATTGTGGTTTGATGGACCGAAGAGATGACTGGTTCCTCAGGGTTTATGGCACCGAAAGACAGAATGAGGGCGGCCAACAATCACCTCACAATGCGCGGTGATTTTAGTGGACCCGTTGGCGTTAATATAGATGTAATTTATAGACTATATCAGATCCTTCCACATTAGCAACCCCATTTTCACCTTGCAGACCATATCTTGCTCCTACAGTTTCCAATATATCTCGTCTTAGTATATATTTTATTGCCCAAGAATCAGTACAGTACAAATCTGGAACTCTCCAAACCATTGTTGAAACCTTTTTAAAGCAGTGTGCCATGGGTAGTTCCTAACCCTGCCATCCTGTCCAAGGCCAAGGTCGATTAATCCTAGCTAGACTTGGGTGGGGGTGGGGTCTAAAAGTGCCCGCCGCAACTTTGATGTCGGATAGCGTCCGAACGGCTTGCGCTAGGGCCACCAAACTTAGTGACTTAGAATACTGTTGGCAACGATTTCATACCAGTGCGATAAGTAAAACATGTTAAGTTACGCATGCTCTCTATTAATAATAACATGTAATTTTATGTAATTTTTCAATTACTATGCAACTATGCTAATTTCATGACGTCATGGCCCAAAATTCAAAGTGGCGGACCATATCATTCAATTACATTCCATTGTTTTTATGATTAATTATTACTAGTTAACCATCCTCTGAAAATTTAGGGGTCATACGATATATTGTTAACCAGTTTTGAGAGGGGGGTGGGGGTCGAATGAGCCCAAAAAAGGGCGTTAGGGTTAAATCGAAAGGCCATCCGGTCCGATAGAAACTTCTGTACACGTATTTAAAGATACGCTATATTATCTGCCGGGGCCCCAAAGTGTATGATTTACATCTTAAACATGTGACCAGACAAGAATAGCTGTTAATAGTCTTCATGTGCTTTTGACAGATTGCTGCTACCATTCCTTTCATGTTTCATCCCACCGACCTTACTGAGAAATCTTTTGCTCTCTGGTAAAGTCACAACCTTTCGTAGTTCATAAAGATGCCTGCTGTGCTACTTATAGACTTTAATCTTTTATCCACTGTGTGCAGTATATGGCCGGAAGATGATTGCCGGCATGCCCCATTCGACCGGGGCAGGTCAGATGTATACGCACAATGAGTCGTGGAGGGTCTCGTAATGCAACGGTAATGTACTGATGGAAAGTCAACTTGTCAGTCAACCCTTGTTCCAACAGACATGAATAAAAGACCGTTAGGATGACGGAAGCTCTGAGTGCACGATTTGTCACGAGAGGTTATCTGATAAAAGGTTTATGAAACGGCATAGATCATGAAATGGGGCCATCCATTATTTGAGTTACCTGCCATATTGAAACAGTATCGCTTTTGTTGGCGCATACTATGTGGTTAGAACATTGTGTAAGTATGTTCACCGGAGGAAAACATATTGTTTTTGCTCTGTTTCTTCTTCTTCCGTTCCAAACATTGACCTGACCTAGTCAATAACCTGAACCAGACCGTCTGTCACCATGGTAACAATTTTATAGTAGGAGGGATTTGGACTCCTGTCACCATATATGTGAATATGTTTGATTGAGAATTAACAGAGCAGACTATATGCAAAGGTAAACATTATGCATTTGCTTTGCAAAAGTTACCTTTCTAGTTCAGAACTTGAATTTAGTCTGATATCTTTACGTTCATTTTGACGAGAAAGTTATTTAGAACGTAATGTAAAACTAGTAAAAGTAACAATGAGCCATATATCTACTATATCATTGTTTTAAGTGCGTGAAGATAACACATGTAGACAGTTACCTGTGATGAGTAGTCAAATACTGTTTTCTGCTGATGTTATGTTACCAGATTCCAGAAGACTCAGTTTTCCTATGATAAAGTAGTGGATCAGATTTTCTCAATAAGAGCTTGTGTCATGTCTTGTTCATGTTTTAAACATATCTACTTACTAATACATATTTAGATATTGTTTATTTCATATTGCAAGCTATACACAATAAAGTGCATGAGAGTAACACAGTCATGTAGACAGCCATTTGTGATGAGTAGCCATATACAGTTTTTTCTGCTGATGTTATGTTACCAGATTCCAGAAGACTCATTGTTCCTATATGATGAAGTAGTGGATCGGATTTTCCACAGTCATGTCAGACGGGTTAAAGACAGCCGATGCTGTGAGAAGTGGTAATGGCACACCAGACGAGACATTTATTCGTAGGAGGGGGAAACAGCATGTTCTATCTTCTTAATTACTACTTCTCACGGCTACAGGAGTCATCCGTCTCTGTCCAGATCAACACACGCATTGCCTGTGAGAGTGTCATCTCGTGTAGTGAGAACGGATTACCCGATTGCGCTTTCGAACCTGCTCAGAGAAGACGGACAGATGCCTGTATGGCAGTTTCCTGTTAGGCCATGTTGATTTGATTATATGGATCACATCAGCACGCGCATGAATTTTCGGCCGTTTCCAAAAATAAAAAAAAGTTTTTAACCATACTGTAAATCGTACAAAACAGTTGCAAAATGAGCAAACATATACCGTAAAAATATTGGAAACGATACCAATGTCGTAGAATGCCAAAATCAAACGAAAACGACGACAATGTCAAGAAATGAGATTGAAGAGTAGATTATTCGCCATATATTTATTTGCACGCTCGCATCAGTTTTGGGGTTCCCAGGGATGTCATCCATATAATCAAATCAACATGGCCTTATGAATAGGATACAACATTCCTCAGAGAAATGTATAACTTTCTATGATTTTGTGTCATAGCTGCGAAATTGCAAACTGCAACACAACCCGGGGATTGCCTGGGAAATCCAAGGGACTCCACTCACCTCATATACCTTACTTTGCTCGTCCATCAGGTATCAACAGTGACAGAATTAGTCTGCACCTTAGTCTAAAGCCATTGGCAACAACTACAGTTACGGACAACATATCTGTCATTTTCAATTGCTGCCTTCGGGTATTACAGTGGTCCTTTTTCTCCAACGGATTGAAGTGATGAAAAACTATGTGGATGTGGAGAGCGCTTCTGGGAGAGAAACAGCAACGCGGTGTGACAGTTGTGGAGGACGGTGCTGCGATGTCAGACACACCGTGACCTTTTGGGTCCGCGGGGGTTAGTAAATTGGTGCCATTAATCGAAAGTCCTTTGGCTGTATTCCAGGAAGATATGTCAAAAGATAGTGTCGGTATGTTGTGGAAGGGACCATCTTTCAAAGACACGTTCGTTCAGCCTCTGCACTACATAAAGTCGGTCCATGTTGTGTAAATTTCTGCAAATTTTGAATGAAGAGAGATATAGCATTGGACATTGATTAACTGCAATCAAAGGAAGCTTAAGTTTCCTGTACAAATAACATATCTATTATGTTATTTTCTTGACTACAGACGTCCCTCGTGTCTTAACCACGTTATTAGATGTGTGTTACCGTGACACTTAACTGACAACAGGACGCCTTACCTACATTTTAGTCGGTCGTTTTCAGGCCTAATGGTACGTTCCCTGGAGGCAGAAAATAGAGTGCTTGTAGACGTAGCTAAGTGAAGGATATGGATTTTTTTTAAAACAGTCATATACCATAAGACCCTATAGTAAGGAATTTCCATTAAGTGACTCTCGCCTAATCATCCTGAGCATTGTTCCATCGACCTAGTGAGGAAAAGAAAAGTAATGGGCTTGCAGAAGTTTCAGTTGATCTAGCTAAGGTGGTATTTCAAATCTTTCTCTTCTTTTTTTTTTACTAATGACATAATGTGCGTGTCTGTGGTAAGATCTGTATACTTGCTCAGCTTCACACAGGCAATGCCCAGTTGGTACAATTATAACGTTATGTAATCGGTCGACACGTCATTGTGTCTTGCGGGACGAAGTGCTGACAGAAACAGACATACTGCCGTGTAGTGCTACGGTGGTATGCATATGTCGGGTTCTGTCTGTCAGATCGAGCTGATGAACAGTCATTGCCGTCATCCAAAGGCTACTGATCTGTCATCCACTTACTAACTTCATTTTAGTTGAGTATAAGCACGAGCGAAGCTTGAAAGCTTTTCCCAGCGCCGGCAGTTCACTATTGCCGCATCTATATTAGATATATCTTACCACCCAGACTAGGTATGGCCCGTTATCAACGTGACTCTGGACCTGCCTCATTTGTTGATTCCCAGAGCATAGGTTGTAATGCCGTAACTTCAATATATACAGGGCCCTGTCTATCTCATTATATGCAACCTAACCTTTTCACCATATAGAAAGGTTTTTAATCTCTTTGTGGTAAATTAATGTGATAACAGGGGTGTTATCCCATTAATTGTTATGCTGAATGTGCAAACCATATATATATATATATATATATATATATATATATATATATATATATATATATATATATATATATACGGGCCCCGCAGGACAAGGGTTTTAATAACCGTACAGAAAGGTTATATTACATAGAGTATATATACGTCAACGTTTCTTTGCCTCACTAGATGCAATCATACAGTCGGTGATGTAGCGGTCACACGTACGTGTAGGCCAAACGAAAGTCGACGTGAAATGTATAAGGCAATTTTGATAGGCTTTGTGTCCAATTTCACCCCGCGGCAATCATACAACTTGAAACCCGCTACGTCCCTGATGAAGGCACCCGCCTCCACTGTGCGCCGCTCATATTGGCACTGCCTAACCTGTTCTGGATGTCATCTGTCTTCAACTTAACGTCCGGAAGAAATAAGTCTTATCTCGGAGGAAATGACACCACAGCACAACTTGTGAGTAATCTGGTGTAATGGTACTGTACAGGCACATAAGGACAAGGACTCTTCCATGGGTTCGTACATAATATATACAGTCTGATATGTAGATTGTATATTGTTGACAGTCTTTTTTTCACTCTCCATACGTACTACGGGATGATTCGTCTATAGACACGAATGGTATCTAAGGCTACTTTTATGGCAATTACTAGTAACATTCTCTCTATTTATATTTATAAGGTACGTGCTACGAATCAACGCCACATCATTGGTATTAAAGTTCAGTTTGTTGACGTCATTTAAGGTAAATACAATATATTATGTTCAAAAGAGACAAAGCGTTTTTGGAATGTTGTTTTAAGCTATATGTCCGAAAAAAAGTTACTAAAGGACCGATTGTTCAGAATAACGTTAAACCGATTGTTGTTACATACGTAGTTCAACTTCTGCAGATATAATGTGTTCATCGTGATTTTAGGATACAATAATCGCCGTTCCCTTTCTTTGTTCCATTCGTTCACATGACAATGAACAACCATGACGGTCTGCTATATGTGACCATAAACTTTAAGACATAACCACACTTGGCCCTACATTGTACGAAACATTATTTATTAACATTCCAAAGTCTATCAAAAGGTTTCCTTAAACTGGAGTCATACTTATCTCCTTAAGGCTGGTGATGCCCTCAAAAGTTCTATCAACATCCCGTTACGGACATGTTTACTACAATGGGGTTATAGTCGTCGATACCTAATAAATCTACATATAACATTTCTGGCACTTCTAGAGTACACACCTCCTCTTATTGTGTGACCCTCAACAGTATATACGTGTGGCCCTCAACGGTATATACGTGTGGCCCTCAACGGTATATACGTATGGCCCTCAACAGTATATACGAGTGTCCCTCGACCGTATATAGGTGTGGCCCTCAACCGTATACACGTGTGGCCCTCAACAGTATATACGTGTGGACCTCAACAGTATACGAGTGTGGCCCTCAACAGTATACACGTGTGGTCCTCAAAAGTATACATGTGTCAACAGTATATACGTAGGCCATTAGGGTTATCAGTATTTACAAGGTTATGTATATATATACATATCTCGTTCTCGTTAAATGGTATTGTGTTCCAAGGTCGTTATATTCATAAGAAATGAAGAGAGATAATAAAAAATATTCAAGAAGGTTGCACTACCATACGCGGAAAGACTATGTAGGTTATTTTCTCCATTTGCTCTTTGTTTTACATTCAGGGGCTCAAATTTAGTGCTTTTCGTTAGCACTTGTCAAGTACTTTGGCAGTATAAAGTAATTACAAATCAAAATGACCCTGACATAGTTATCTCGTCCATCGTTAGCGTGACAGGTGAAAAAAAGACGGACGAGTCAAACTTAAGTTTGTCGTTTTAAATCTTCAAGGCTTCTGCTCATTACAGGTATAATTGAATAAGTGACGAGCTGATGGTCAGATATATCTGCATGAATAAATATTTTACAAAGAATCTAAACGGGCACGTATAATGCATGGTCTTGTGAAATGAGATAATAAAGGTCTAATACACTCAAAAGAATTTTTCGGACCAGCTATGTGTGCGCATACGAAACCCAATACATTATACAGAAAAGGAAAAACACGCCAGGAAAGACTACTCTAGAATATTTATCTATGGTATTGACATCTTTAACCTGAAGTTTGATATTGGAAGTTTTTACTCTTTGGACGACTTCAGCGATGGTGAGCCTTTTCCTTTCTTGCCTTCCCTCCTCTTGTATTTTCATGACCTTTTGGCCCAGGGAGGCGAATGAGACCGGGCGCTTCCTGACGGTAGCATCGCCCTGTTCTCTCGGTCGCCCCCGTCCGCTCCCCATCGCCGCTCTGTCGTTTGCCTCCTTCTGTAGTTTTGCTGCATTGAGGACCGCCATGCCCATACCGGACAGCTTCCGCGCGCGCGGGTCGGTACTGAGAGACAGGCGGGACTCGGTCTTTCTGAGTGCGGACGTGGGCGCTTCGGTATTGGACAGGGCGCGGCGACGCTCTGTCGCGACGCGGAGGTGTGACTCGGGCTGCCTGATCACTGGAGGAGGATCGTCGTTTGGTTTCAACAGGGTATCATCATCGACATTGGACACATTTTCCGTTGATAGCTCTCCTTGCGGCACTAATTCCATCCCTTTCTCCTCCATGTCCCTGGCGTACTCTATGATCATTCTGGCTATGCTGCCCCTCGGACTGGCCGTGGACGCGATCGATGACTTTCTGGTTGGCCATGTGCTCCCGTCAGAGTTCCGCCCCAAACGGGAACTCGCGTCGCTCCGGCGCCGTCTCTCCAGACTCTGGTTAGTGACGTCCAACGTCGGGATGTTCAGGCAAACCTGATCATCGTGGACTACGGAGTACTCTCCCACAGGGGTGTCATGTGGCCTCTGCGCGTTTGTGGGCCCAGTGTGGAACACGTTCAGGGGAACATTTTCCTGTGTTCGCGTCGCTTTAGACCAAGGGTTCTTCTTACCTTGCCTTTCTGAATCTTGCTTTTGGTTGTCTTTGCCGATATTTTTTGACATGACTGTCACAGACAAACCTTGACCTGGTTGCTCGTCACTTTTGTCGGGTCCATTATCGAATCCTTTTCTCTTAAGTGCTGCCAGTAGACCACCTAGTCTTCCCGGCTGCTGAAAATAAGGGAAATCCAAAAAATTACGCAAGGTGCGTCAAGTGATTGAGTTATTGTCAGAGTGAAACCTAACACTCTAACTTGTTATCGAAGAGAAATATAAATGCAAACACGTGAAGACATGAAGGTAAAATGTGCCATTTGCTCTCATTCTCATATCCGTAGAAAGTGAACGTCAGTTACTATTCGTACCCTTAATGGTATCCTCAGAACAATAAGGTCCATTTTGATTTATGAGGTTTTAGAAATGACTTTTGCCACGTTTGAAAACTCTTTTAATACCGTGACCTGCAGACGGCCTTATCTTACCGGCGGACTGTTAAATCATGAGCAGCGTCGGCGCCAGCACACTGAGCTTGTCGATGCTACTTATATCGAAAATACATACTGCAAGTAGCAAACGTTCTTAAGACAGGCGATCCATATGGATGTTATACTTCTTGACTTCAGTTTTGCGCGTGATATCGCTCAAGTTTAAAACGTGAATCGGTACGAAAATGTTGAACTTTATTCCTACACAAAGATTAAACAGAGATCAAATTTTCAGCAACCACTGTCGCCTTCATCAGGATGATTAATGACCAATCACTTCAAAACGTAATCTCGCGAGAGTTAAGGTTACAGACACGTGATCTTATATTTACACGAGACTTTACGGATATGTGACGTAAGCAATTGTCGGAATAAAGTTTGACATTTTACTATGATTACTGCCAACACAGATGAACTTTCCTGATACTCTTGCAAATATGATGGCGATAAAGACTACCCGATTTGGTAAAGCAGCGCACCATGAGTGCGTATCATCATCGTCTCAAAAGTCGTGCAAGATTAAAATGTCAGTTTGCTTTATCACCTGTTCCTCGTGCTTATGCACATCTTCCGCTCCAGACTTCTTGGCTTTTAAAGCCTTCTGTTCCCTGCGCTGCTGCACGCTGGAGTGGTAGTTGACAGCGGCGTACTCCAGAAGAGCCGCGAAGACAAAGAGGAAACACATGACGCAGTAGACGTCGATGGCCTTGATGTAGGAGATTTTGGGGAGTGAGTCCCGAGCACTTGTTATGAAGGTAGTCATGGTCAGAACAGTGGTGATGCCTGTGGGAATCAAAATGTGGGCTGTCAAGATTCACCTAACATACGTAATAGAAAAAAATATATATTCCTAAGGCAACTAGTCAAGCCATCCATCGAAAAACATACCTGTTATTTCTACAATAACTGAACAGCGAGAAGTGAAATTTATATAACGATACTTAGTTTCTTTTGCATCTGTTAACTTCATCCGTTTATCTTGTTTTGTGGTGACCTATACTTAGCCAAGTGTGGCGAAAATGTGCAATAAAGGTCTTTATTGGATATAATAGAGAGACGTCGACCCCTATATGCTCAAGATTAGATAGGTGATGATTAATAGGCAAAACAAAAAGAACTAATTTACTATACAAAGGTACTGCCTTATGTCTGGTTCATAAATAGTTATTTGTCATATTAATCTATAAAATATAATTCACAGATAAACAATGCTTCTGACAGTACAACAGGTGGCTGAGGAGGCAATCGGAGAAAACCATTTAAGGTTTGGAAGTCATGAATGAGCCGTCTAAGCTGTCTAAAAGAAACTCAATCTGTCTTGTCAATAGACTTTAATTTCTCACCAAGATGGTATCGTCGAATTTGGTTTCAGCTTCTTCAAAGTTCCTTCAATCTACCAACACTTTACTCTTCCATCTGTTGATATCGGCAATGTATAATCGCCCTTTCTATCATGAAACTATGCATGTTAAAGTACCGGCCAGGGAATCTTACGATAACATCTCAGACTCCCCAGTTCCCATACCCATTTGTTCCAGGATTTCATCCAGCCCCCCATTGGCCCTTCGTCCAAGAATCCATCAATCTACCATTATCGTTCCTCCAAATTTGCCTGACTTGTGTAACGTCCCTGAACAGTCCAGATTCGCTAAGAGATAAGAATCTAAGATAATTGCACTGGACCGAAGATGCTGCATCGTATATTCTGTTTGTAAATTTGGCATTTGATACCGTTTCTCGTGTTGGACAGTGCTGTCTTTAATTCTTTACGGCCAATTGAATAAGATTAATCATTCGATAGCAAGTGAGCATTTAGGAGAAAAAGAACACTGTCATCACAGAGGTCTATCTATGCCTTGGCGGAGCTCTATACCAGCTAAAGATAAAGTTTATGTTTTATTTCATTATTTATGTTTGCAGACTTAAATGACTGGCAAATCTTATCAAACCGATCACGAAAGAGGTATTGGCTTAAACAAATGTTTTTGCTTAAACAATGAACCCCTATTTTTACTAATGGATGGACAACCATATCTTTAGGCACAAAGCTACATTTTTCTGCACAGCACAGACAACATAATTATACGTGAAATTGCATGATGCCCAGTTTTGTTTTAGCCACTAGATTAGGTATCGTTGCAATCAGCCTGGCATGGACAAATGATGCCGCCTACTTATCTAAGCCTGAAAATAACGAGGACGTCCATTTGACTTAAAGCTGCCTTAGCGTGAGAAATGCATTCGATGTGCATTGTAAACCCGTGCGGTGAAGTAGCAGGAAATTCGAAATCAATGTGTTAGGGTCAGGCTCTTAAAGAAATAGGCGCCCCAAGGACGTTTCGGAACATTCGTAATCCGGGTAAATGTTATGACCTAAATGTCAATCAATGTTGATGTCGCCAATCGATGATGTATGCTACAAGTATTTTCTGTACCTACAAAACGTGTTTTATCGAATTTCAAATAAAAAGAACCAATAAAACCTGAAAGGTGAATATTTGCCAAGGAGACATCAGTCATGATCGGTGAACTCTAAGCCATCAGGTCGCTTTGGAAAGGCCCATAATTCATCAATGTTGGAACATGCAATGGCTTCGTACTCTTTCACTAATTGCCAGGCTCCTACCACTTTTGAGGTTACGGCCTAATAACCTACGGGAAATGGAGCCTTCTGATTGGTCAACGGTTTCTTTCAATATGATAATTTAACTTATCCACCTGACTTTCTAAAGCATCTGACAGCTGTATGTTGGATGAGCATCTCCTTATGGTACAATGAATACTCCAAAATATGCATTCGAATTCTGTAAAAGTTCCCAAAATTTCTTTCAACTGCGATTTCAATTGAAGACGAAGTAGCACTCGACGCGTTATACACTGCCGCAAATGTATTCGTTAAAAATAGAATACATTTTTTTTCAGTCATGACCACTTCTGTAGGCAATAAGAAGACTTCAAGATAACATAAAGTTGTACATCTTTCACCTTTATTTATGTGAACTTTTTTTCACATAAAGAGGTAGCTCCAAACGGCTTGTGCAGATACATTAAGACTTACCGAGAGCGACTCTAGCAGGCACGGCCTCGTGGTTTATCCAGAAGGAGACCCAAGATAAGACCACCAACAGCGTGGCCGGCAGGTATGTTTGCAGAATGAAGTACATGATGTTCCGGTAAAGCTTAAAACGAATGGTCAGTCGGGGATATTCTCCTAGGAAAAGAATGGAGAAGAATTGGTGAGATGTGTTGATGAATGGGTATGGCCCGTAGGGCCGCAAACCCAACAGGAAACTTGAATCCATGCAAGCATTACAGTAGACGTGGCAATGTGATGGAGTGCACTGGAGGGTCGTGCATTACTTTGAATGCACAATACGCTTATTACAATGATGTGCATCAACCTTTGAGCACAACGAGCAAACTGATCTTGGGAGAATCAAAGTCTTGGAAATGTAATACTATGTTCTGTAAGAAACATCTGCTGGTATCTATGCCTCTATTTTTGCCTCCATTCACATGCTATACAATGCTTCATGTCAGCTATTCTATATACATAGAGAAACACACAAATGTATATTGAGGCTTTATACTCTTTTGAGATCAAACTGAATCCGAATTCAGTTTAAGAGCGGTTCTTTTTTCTAGTATTAACCATTCTTTCCATCATTTAAGTCCCTTTATTCATCTTTGCTGACTTCGTTTTCAAAAGCCAGTACATATATCACGCCACTGGCTGAACGTCTGAATTGCTCTGGATACGAGAAGTTTATTTGAGATTTACTGCTTAAAGAAGGGCAGGGTTTAAAGTCGGATGAAGTGTGTAATTGAAGAGATTTTGGGAGATCAGTTTCCAATATGACCTGATTGGATGTTTCTTGGATTGTAGTCTTCCATGATTCTTTGATATGGCTATTTTCTGCCAGGAGGTTACAGATTGCAGTACGTGGTTGCCTTAGCGTTCAGCATCTAGGAGGTTGACCACGAATCTTGTGTATGAAGGTTGGGTGGAGTAATGTGCATTAGTAATAACTCGTCTGTACTGTAGCACAGATAGAGGCTCATTGTCGTCGGAATAAATCAATGACCTTCATCCATGGAAATGCGAACATCTATTGAGTCTCAACCGGATACCAATTAAATGTTGAAAGACAACGGAGGTCATGCTTTTACAGCTCTTCCCCGATATGAATTTCTGCAGTTGATGATTAAGTTTATCGAAGAAAAATACATTGTATATTGTTTTTTTGCTACGTTTCCTCCTCCTCTTCTTCTTCTCCAAACGGTGACCTCAATGACCTGAACCATGTCTGTTACCATGGTAACTAGTGTTGGGTTACATCATGTTGCAATTTTATGGTAGGAGGGATTAAGACTCCTGTCTGACCATATATATGAATGTGTTTAAGTAAGCTTTAACAGTGCAGACCATATTATGTGAAGGTAAACAGCTAATGTTACCTTTCTAGTTCAAAACACTTTTTATTTTAGGCTTTTATCTATAAACAACCCATCACGGCGAAACGAAAAACACTGCTTCGATGTGTGGAGGTCGTAAGGCAAGGTCGATATATACTAGATTGTTATCAGACAGTGGCTTTAGCCTTATCTGACTTTTTATCGTCACCATTCCTCCTGATTTAAGGACCGCTGTGGCTAGAAGTGGATGTTTTATTGTCTGCGGGAAAGATCTGAAGCGATGGTTGTAGGTGACGTCAGCAACCTATGGCCGTGGTAGCGGTTGTAACAATAATAGATCTACTGTTCAATCTCTAGTCTAATGCACTCATACATATTACCCTTTTATATACTGTCGTTCTCAAGGTTAGTGATCACATGGCGTACGACCGCTGCACTAGCCGAGCTTGACTATCACGCTTGTATTTGTGCTTGACTAGTGGTCCGTGTTAGCCATATCCATATCATATTCATATCAATATGATATTAGCATTAAATTCCGTGCTGTACACTTCCTTGACCTCCACAAAATCTGAGCCTACTTCTCGTACAGTAATATCTTTAATGACGTCACCTCAATGTACGTGTGCTAAATGTGATCATTATTATAAAGAAAAGTCAAACCCTTTAGACATATTTTTAGGCATAGTTATATCTTTAGACAATTACATTATGTTATTATGTAGATTTAGAAATTATTTTGTACCCTGTTTCAATGTTCTGTAATCTTTGTTTTTTTGTTATTAGCCCTCGGGCAGGTATCTGCAATAAACTTATCATTATTGGCAACATCTTTTACAGACATGTCGGTCAATCAATTCACTAATGCATTGAATTGATCCAATTTCTTAAGGGATTTGCACGTCACACGTTATTACACTACCCAGGTAGAGCTTTTTCAATCAACGTGTAATGTCGATTGTACATTTCCTTACTGTTCGGTTGGACTGTCAAATTTACATTGGGAAGTCTTATCGCAAATATACAGCATTCTCATCCCGGATGTGCATAGTAGAAAAGGGATTAAGAAAGCCAGACTAATAGAGGCGATAAAATGTTTGGAGCTGCTATCCTTGTCTCTTCCTGCTGTGAACCTTATGGTGTTTTTTTTTTCATTGTATTGATGTCGGATAAGTGTCTTAGCAACATACTTGCTCATAATTGAATATTAGATATAGAAATTCAATCGAGCAGGGGCAATGTATGCGTGTGTGTTTGTGTGTGTGAAATGACTATTACCTTCGCTAAGAAGGTTATGCTTTCAGTAGCGTGTGTGTGTGAGAACATAATTTATTCAAGTCATAACCTCATTTGCATAGATTTATGAGAAAAATGTATAATTTCGTCAGTCGGAATGGTTAACATCATTTGGCGAAGGTAAGAGATCGTAGAACTCCTGATTATATACACATATATCCATGATGGTATATGAACGAGTACACGTAGCTCAGGGTATCATTATGATATGTAGCAACATGCGTGGAGTGTCAAAACATCACGAATTAAGATGAGCAAAGATACCCCGAACGTGACAAAATCAGCAATCAGTCGTCTCGTTGCAGCTTTCTCTGTGCATGATATGCTGCATATTGTGTTTGATGCTCCCTTGAACCGATGAATACCAATTGCCTGCTTCTGCTTCGGAACGTCAAGCTAGTTAAGCTAACTTTGCCCCATCGGTTTTATTTCTCGAGGTTTATGTGGCGTTTCCGCATTGCGGTCATGTATCTCATATGTGAGGTTCCATATTTGTTGAACATGACGCTTCTATGATTATATTACAACGATTCAAAACATTTTAAGAAAGACAGAGGCTTCCTGGTAATAGTGATATTTACGAGAAGAAGACGCTTCGCATAAGAATGATTTGGCTCGGTCCCGTTGCCCCACTGGTATTCATGAGGGTGAAAAAGACTGCCTGTTCAGGCGTGTTATGAGCTAACTTGATTGTATAAGGGGATAGCTTTGACGCCAGTCAGCCGTAATGTTCAAAATACGTCACTACGTAGAGGTGAACCATAGTGTATACTAGTAATTTGACAATGTTATTATGCCGTCTGCCGCTATCGAAAGCTGCGAAGAGAAGCCTACCGTTGGCTCAAGACCGACAAGGTGCATGTGGATAAAACGAATGAGCCATCCGGTAACTGGCATATACTAGATTTACGCTCAATGATTCTCAGATTTAGATATCGGTTTAACTTGACGATGCAATGTCATCACATTTTATTGAGTCAGAAATGTCATTGTAACATTGGTTGAAGGTTATCATGCTGCCGGGTAGCTATCACGAGATAGCTTAATTTTATGGTTAGATACATCCGTTGGACATTGAAAATACATCATTATTTTGTAAGATATAGCGGGAGGAGAGATTCTACCATGGCAATCCAACAAGAGTAACGGAAGTATATCTTTTTTTTTATATTCCAACATGCAATCACAAGACGTGGTGACGGCACACTCAAGTTTTTTCAACTTATATTAATGCCGCCACCATCACAAGGGACAATACAGAAGACAATACAGTACCCATTTTCACCTGATGAGCAAAGTGAGGAAAGTCGTGTTAAGTGCTTTTCCCAAGGGCACAAGATTGGTGGAATGTCAGGACTCGAACCCAGGACCTCTTGTTATATCTTTTTGCACAGGCTTTATTTTCAATTTTCTCGAACGGCTGAAAAATGTGCTGTTGCGTTCCCTCACTAGTTTAACAAAGCTCTCTCTCTGTGTATGTAATTTCGTGTGTGTGTGTTCTCGCACGTTTGTAACACCGACCTAATCGCACGAGGGATTAAAGAGGCCATGTACATCAGGGCATTACAACCATCCCTCGATAGAGACGGGGGGCGCCACAGACTTTCTGCAACCTATGAACCACTGCTCACGGAGTCACGTGTGTTATCTGCGTGAAGTCCCGGAAGTGGTGGATTGTCATTCCTTGACACAGACTGGAGTTTTACAGTTGAAAAGTTGAGTGAGTCCAATTTCTTGTGTTGGATGTTGTAGTTCAAACCTGTTTCATATATGCCTTCTACAAACACAGATGAACTTTCAAGGTAACACCAACCTGTCTCGTACTTCTGTACTTCGTCAGAAACTTCGTGCTCTCCCACCCAGAACTGCGCGAGCTCAATCCGCTCCAGACCATGGATCGACTCGTTGCCGTCCTTCCACTTAAAACGGATGTCCTCAGTCGTGTATCCATCTGAAATATTTGAAAAGAATGCCTATAATTAATCTTACATTATAACTTACGAAACTGAACTGGGGCACAGGAAGAATGCCTTTCATCTTACATCATTATTTACGAAACCGGATTGGGACACAAAAAGAAGCTTAAGTAGAGGATCAAGTGTGCCGGAAAGCCGGTACACATCACCGTGGACTTTTAGACTTAATCTTACATTATAAATCACGAAACTGGATTGGGACTCCAGAAGGAACTTAAGTAGAGGATCAAGTGTGCCGAAAAGCACAGTGGACTTTTAGGCTTTTCATAATGTTTCTATCGACAGAGATGAACGATCATGCTAAAGTCGTGAATAGAATAAATTAATTGTAAATGAATTTTGCGTTTATGAAAAAAAATATATCAATGCGACATTCTTATCTGTCGTGTATTTGTTCCGTATTTCTGCTTTGGTGTAGATTATGACTGGCGTCAAAATGAAACAACGCTCGCTCGCCCTTCTCGTATCTGTGTACTTTATCAACCCAAGGGAGTCTATAGACGAATTATTCGTCCAACAGCGCAGATCTCCGATTCCTTTATGATGTCACACAAAAGGAGCAAATTGCAGTATCAGTCATATCAACTGAACTTCATACAAACTGCACACGTCTCTTTGCTGTATCTGTTAGGCAATGTTAATTTGATTACATAGATGACATCCTCTGGGAACTCCAAAACTGATGCGGGCGTGCGAATAAAAAAGTTTGTAAAAAGGTGCTTTCATTGTGAAATCTACGTGGTCATGAAGGTTAAGCAAATTACATAAAGTATAGTATGGCGAATAATCTACTTATCTTTAAATTCATTTTGGCATTCTACGACATTGGTATTGTTTCATTTTTTTGCAACTTACGGTTTATATTTGCTCATTTTGCAAATGTTTTGTAAGTTTTACAGTATGGTTGAAAACTTCTTTTTGGAAACAGCCGAAAATTCATGCCCGCGCTAATGTCATCCGTATTATTAAATCAACATGGCCTTACCTGTATTGGAGACATAGTCTGCCGGACAAATGTACTAGATAATTGTGTTTCCAGATCCTCTCAATTTCTGGGTCGAACCTGTCATGAGCTCATGAGTTTTCACAGGAATCGTCAAATTAAATCAATTCATCTCCAGGGAGAAAATTTCTTATTGATCATTCGTTGGTATCTGATGGTCGCCGAGCGGTTTTACCGGTTGTCATTGTAGAACCCTCTCGGGTGGGGAAGATCCTATAGTTGGCCGTCTACGCTTCATTACAAAGGCAAACCTGCTAACCCAATATGGCAGCAGCATCCAGCCGCTTCCTTCCGTCTCTTAGTCAGATAAAATAAAGAGATTGCTTTCCACCTCAACGGTTGGTATTTGAAGAAGTTAGTTTGGCAAAGAGCAGGCAAGATCATATGATCCAACTTGGCAATCGTTCATCCTGAAATTCGACTAAAAGATACTAAGTGTACAGCTTGACACCAGTACAATTTGGTACGGTATCCACAACTTCGGAGCAGTTTGCGACATCCATCGACTTTCTGTATCAGTTTTTGGAAATCTCCGGTAATGTGTATTGACAAAGTGTCACTTCCAAGATTAGTGATGAGGTAATCTCATTCATTGCCATCCGGTGTAGCGACCAGTGCCATCCAAAAATAGAATTTCCACGGGTGGCATTGATGTTCTGAAGATTGGGTCGGACTGGTAACGTCTGGATTTATTGGTACCTGTTGTCGGTAATAGCCTCTCCGATGTGACATTTACCTTTACTTTCTTTCCGTAGGTTGAATTTTTTTGTCGTAATGGAGTTTCCAGACCTTTATGTAGGATCACGACATGAAGGCATCTATAACTTTGTCGTAAACTGAGTCAAAGCACGAACCGGAAAATCGAGTTTGTATTGTGCGCCAGCAAAGCTGAAGTAAGGATCCGTGCGTATTGTGTCCTAAATGTTATTTATATTAGACTATCACAGTGGTAAAGGCCTTTTAAAAGTAAGCATCCCCATTTGGAAAATATATGGTACAATGAAAAAGACATTGAAGAAAATATACATGTACTTACCGGCCTGCATTGTAAGAACTATGGTACAAGTTAGTACAACTATGGTTACCGTAATGGTTTTATGACTACTTTGATTCATGAAAACTACTTACTCCCATGACTATGACTAACATTAACTTTGTTCATGGGTAGTTCTGTAAAGCTGTAGAATTCGTAACTTTCAGTCTGCCTGTCCCTTTTGGGCAAATAGAGGTATAGGAAGTATTAAACTGACAACGTATCAGTCTGAAGGAACGACTGAGGTCGGCGAGGCTTAATGCAGTGTGGTGGCTCTCTGTGATCGGATTGGGCCAGACTGATGTGTATAGTCCGTACTGTTGACAGGCGTGATACGTTCTAATGCCAAATGTACCATACAACCACTTTGCACCACAGTAGCACGCCTGGAATGATTGCAGCCTGGGCGAAAATCCTCACCTTCCCGAGTCATTCAAGCGTGCTAATTACTCATCACGCCACGTGATGAACATGTCTTCCCCTAGGGCTGACGGACTATCAAAAAGGCCATCTCCACAAGCCGTTCATTGTCAGCTATTTGCCGCAAGGTTAGCTGTATGGTTAAAGCGTAATGTCATAGCTAAGTACTCACAGCTTTCGAACTGCAAAGGGCAGGTCTGCACATCCAACGGGTACTTCCGGAGGTCCATGGGGCAGGCTGCCTTGGCAGTGATCCTGAAATATCAAGAACGATGACTGCTATAGCATATTTATTAGAAAAAGGTCTTGAAGCTGTTTGGCGTCAGGAGTGTTGGCGTGTGTTGTTTCACATTCCACTAAGATTTTTTTTTTACTTCATCTTCACCACAAAACATGTCCACTCAAATGTTTGCGGTTACTGAACTCTAAGACAGTGAGGACAGATGTTTGTTGGCCTTTGACTTGAAAAGTTTCTGCTCCATGGTGATGTTATTCTAGGAAAGAAGCTTCCAGCGTGGAACTTCCTCCTAAGAGGTGGTGTATGGAGGAAGAGGAGGTGATTTACTTCAGTGGAAGTGGCAATACATCTAACTCACAATACCGTTTTGTGTTGTACTTTATATTGCACTTGTAAACTACACTCACAGGATGTTTTTACTGGTTTTGAGGGAACCGCGGCAAAAGGTTAACGTCTTAGTGTTTTAGTATGTCACTGATGTGAACTGCTGTCCGTGTCAGCTTAAAGTTTTATGTTTACATTCTGAAGGGACATTTCGGACAAGTTTTATGTTTACATTCTGAAGGAACATTTAGGACATCCACGGGAATAGCTGAATCATTCACACCGGCTGGACGTCTGACTACGTGTAACATGGCGTTACAAGTTAGTACAGCTATGGTAACCGTCATGGTGAGCGGCTTTCCGTGCCAGCTAAAAAGTTTTATGTTTACATTCTGAGGGCATATTTAGGACATCCGTGGGAATAGCTGAATTAGACACACCGGGCAGTTCTGTGATTACTTGTAACATGGCGTCGCGCTAACACACAGGCACAATGCCGCGTATCTCCCATATGTTAGGGCGAATGCGGAGCTGAATGGGCGGAAAAGCTCCAAACGACAATGACAAATTGGGCTATGGTAAAGTGCACAGGTTACTCTTACAGGGTATTGAACGCGAAAGGTCTGCTGGAGGGGTCTGTTATGGATCAGCGTGTGGCGCTTCCCGGGCCACTTCGTCAATACCCTGCCCCCATTTCCAGGCATGAAGGAATCTATATAAATGCCGTACTGTGTAAACTTTAAACTTTAAAGCCTAGCCGAAAACTTCAAACAGTGTGCAGCAATGTGGAAATGCACTTTAACAGTGCCCACCTGTCATGTACCTGTGCCTCACACATATAGTTCACTGCACGAAAAGGTGGATAAAGGTGAAAAAAGTGAAAAGGTGATGGTTCTTACTATGCAGGCCGTACTAAATTCGGGAAATGTTGACTTTGTATATAGTATCTGGCTCTGCAATGATAGTAAATAAAAACGCCCGGTAATTTCATTTACAACCCTGGTCAAGTCCGGAATCACAGTACTTGACTATTATTTACTACCATTAAACATTACCTAACTTTACTGGTATTTAATGCAGTTGGTAAATGTAAGGTTTTATGCAGTGGAGTGGCTGTACCGACTCTGTGCCGTGATGCTTTGGTGTGGGCGGGATCATATACATCGTCACTCCTTCTAGCTCAGAGTGAAATGGCTTAATTACAGTATCCTCAAAACCTCATTTATATGGAAATCTCCCACCCTGCCCTCTAACCCGTTAGCGAGGATACCGCAGTGTCTGTCATGTAGCGGGCATCCCGCACCTAACGGCTGTCTAGACGAGCCATTACATGTTCTTACGCCTTCGTTTCAAATTGCGACCACATGAAAATAAGCATGAAATTGGGATCATGTTTATGTGTCGCCTGAGCATATGACCGGTCCGTTAGCCTACATTCTCCTAATATTTTCCCCACATTGATGGCATGCTGTACTTATTTTTTAGTGTATGTAAGATCGACACCTCATTTGAAGGTACCCACGGGATACAGCTTAAAATACTTACATTTTTAACATACTCAAAAGTAAATGCTTAATTTCGTTTAACCATATCACTTAAATGTTTAAAAAAATGTCATCATGCATGCATCACATAGTATTGTCATGTTAAAAGTAGCTATAGCTAAATCTACGCTGCAGATTATCACTTTGCCAACACATTGCCAGTACTGGTGTGTTAGATCACAACACTGCACAAGCCGTCGTATTGTACCCCACCATGCTGCGTATGGAAATAGTGCACACAACGAGATACTATTGATGCAAATCGTGTGTGTTGGACTTAAGCATTAGAGCTGTAGTGTAGCCCATGACATTTTTTTAGTATTATGCAACGTTAGTTTTAGACTATAGCAAATTGTCTACCTGAACATGGAACAACCTTTGCTAGGAGAAGTTGACATGTATTTCGTTATTCAGCAAATAACAAGATAACCCTGGTATAAATACATTTAACACGTAAACAATTTAATCCTGGGTAACAATTATTCCCTATTTATTAAGTGATTACAAATTACTATCAATTTCATCTCATTACAATACTTCCGGTACAAATGACTGCAACATAAAAGTTATTTCATCTAGCAACTTTGTACTAGTAGCAACCAAAAACAATTCGTTTGCCACACACATACACAATGCCTTTATACTATTTCCCACGATAGAATCAATTTGGCAAAACAGCAGAATATTTTTTCATTATCTCGGCAGTTGATAGGCACGCATTCCTCTGGATCACATAATATATAGTTCCTTTACTTTTAGGCTGATACTTGGATGTAGCGGTAATGTTTTTATGTTCCCATATGAGCCATCAGGCTCACCTCCCGGAATAGGCTTTCTGTACTTCGTAATGAAACTTTCCTCATTTCCTTACCTCATATATACGCAGATACCATGATATATATATCACTACTGGTTTGGTTGTTATACTCGAAGGTTCTGAAAAGTTGTTTTTTTTATGTTTTGTCAATGTTCCATGAAAAGAAGTAACATCTTTACTTGTTTCAATATACCAGTAGGTATTTTGTTTGAAAGAGATTTTTTATTCTTATTATAGATCTCACACTGATAGATGTTACGCCTTGTACATATTTTTATTATTAACAGGAAACTATTTTTGTAAGGCAGGTAAAGCCCGTAATCGTATAGTATATGTCGACGTCAACGCTGCAATACCCATCTTCTGTTCACCAACGACATACTTATATTTCCCTAGGGCGTTATCGGGACTTGATTAAAAAAAAGGCAATGTCTTCCCTGTTTGCAATATTACAGTCATTCGCACTGGAACTGCGTCTGCAGAACCGAGATAAGATTTTGCAACGAAAAGACGCCCTACCTCCACCCAAGTACTGATATCTGCGTACAAATTAAAAAAGAAAAGACAAATATGACCCCATCAAATTAACATAGACTCATTCTACCCGTATTCTAGGATGATAGATACAGATGATCTAGATAGCAGTTTTAGACATTTCCACATTAGGAATATATGGACAATTTTACTAGGAGTGGTACAGATGCATACGTTGCCCACTTAGCAAGGCTATAACCAGGAGGTTCTAGCACTGTCATTAGTTAAACGCTTGCTGTGTAGAAAGGCCGTTTTCTACAATGTACCTTCTGCATGGGTTGACGTCAAACGGTCTAAAAAGCCCCACATAAACCTTCAGTAGTACACCCTTCCAAAACAGATTTAGATTGACCTACTAACACAAACTGAAGTTACTGATGTTTTTTTCAGGTTATGCAAACTGCTTAATCTGGAATGAAGGATCGTACGGCTGCTTTTCTGTTTTTTTGACCTCTTAGTTTCAAAGTGAACTTGTTCTTTACCCTTGTCACACTGATAGACGCTGAGGTTTGTCTGCAGTAGAAAACGTCGTAAGCATACAGCAGAAAACGTTAGTCTTGCCCAATTTGTGATTCAGTGAGGCGAATACGAAATAGACCTCAGATGTAGTATGATTGGGATGGATTGCTACGTCGTACCCGCTCCTACTCTACAGAGGGTACCTGCTGCTTTTCTGGTCTGTTAGACATTAGTCATCCTCGCGGTAAACCCTTTGTCAATGTCAAGTTTAGTTTCCTTCTGCCTCTTTTTCTAGAACTTTCCCGTGGACGTAATTTTACGTAATTTTCATTAGATGATTCAGTTGATTATGTTGCAAAATGTCCTGAAGCAAATACCGACAATACTAAATTACCTGGTCGCCATGCTAGTCCTCTGGTAAAAGAAAGCTTAAATGTTATATTATATTTATATATA